AGGGAGGCTGAGGCAGGAGAATTGCTTGAACCCAGGAGGCAGGGGTGGCAGTAAGCCAAGATTGTACCACTGTACTCCAGCCTGGGTGACAGAGCAAGACTCCCATCTCAAAAAAAAAAAAAAAAAAAAAAATCTGTTGTTTGGTGTAGCTACCTTAGTGGCTTCAGAAATTTTAGCTAGATCTTCCGAATAACTTGCTGCAGCTTTACCTAAGCACTGGCTGCTTCACCTTGCACTTCTGTGCTGTGGAGATGGCTCCATTCCTTGAACTTCATGAACCAACCTCTGCTAACTTTCAGCTTTTCTTCTCAGCTTCCTAAACTCTCTCAGCCGTTACAGAATTGAAGCCAGTTAGGGCCTTGCTCTGAATTAGATTTTGGCTTAAGAGAACATTGTGGCTGATTTGATTTCTGTCCAGACCACTCAAACTTTCTGCATATCAGCAATAAAGTTGTTGTTCCTTCTTCTTTGTGTGTGTGGAGTAGCACTTTTAATGTCCTTCAAGAACTTTTCCGTCTGCATTTATAAATTGGCTAACTGATGCAAGTGGCCTAGCTTTTGGGCTTTCTTGGCTTTTGACATGTCTTCCTCACTAAGCTTAATCATTTCTGGCTTTGGATTTAAAGTGAGAGATGTGTTACTCTTCCTTTCACTTGAACTCTTAGGGGCTACTGTTGGGTTATTTATTAATTGGCCCAATTTTAATATTGTTGAGTCTCAGGGAATAGGGAGACAGGAGAGAGATGGGTAGAGAAGGTCGGTAGAGCTGTGAGAACACACATATTTATCATTTAAGTTTGCTGTCTTGTCTGTCTTGTACAGCTAGTTAGCACCTCCCAAAACAATTACAATAGTAATATCAAAGATCACTGATCACAGATCACCATATCAGATATAACAATAATGAAAAAGATGGACATAGTACAAGAATTACCAACATGCAGTACAGAGGCACAGAGTAAACACATGCTATTGGAAAAATAGCACTGATAAACTTGCTAAATGTAAGCTTGCCACAGACCTTCAGTTTATAAAAAGTACAGTATCAAGCCCGGCATGGTGGTGTGTGCCTGTAGTCCCAACCACTCAGGAGGCCGAGGCTGAAAGATTGCTTGAGCCCAGGGGTTCATTGCTTCAGTGAGCTATGATCATGCCTTGTGAATAGCTTTCTGCAGGTAACTACAACCTGGGCAAAATAGTGAGACCTCACCTCTTTAAAGAAAAAAAAAAGGAAAAGTGTAGTATCTACGAAGTGCAATAAAACAGGGTGTGCCTGCACTTTCCAGTGAACAAAATGGATGGGGGATGATACACGCGCACACCGACACACCATGCACTTTATATGGGACAAAACGTTTTAACGTTTCTTTCTTGTACAGTCTGTTTTTGAGTACTGTTTTGGTTTGGCTTGGGAGTGATCCCAAAAGGGAGTGGCTGAAGTGATTAAAAGGGTTGGTGAAAATTGCAGCCGAAATTCTGAAGATAATGAAAATATTCCACCGCAACTTTTGTGAGTGAACACGTTCAGTTTTCTTAAGTTAGCAAGTAATGACCTAATGGACTAGAACCTCATCCTGTATGTTTCTTGCATGTCTATTGTCAGACACTTAATATACTTAGATGAGAAATTTTATAAATGCTGCATCTTAATAGATTATCTTAATAAAAGTTACTGATTGTTTTGTTTAAAATGTTCATATTTTGAACATCGAAGTGGATTGTTACTTGGAATAAATGCTAAGCAATATTTTTTGCTAAATTTCTGATTTATCTGGGGAGCAGGAAGAATGCCTTATCTTAATTTCGAATCACCTTTGTAAGTAAGGTGCAACCCAAAACGTAGGCAATGCTAGTTGCCAGATTTTTGAACCCCTGCCTGGTAAGTTGTCCTTTTGGTTTGCTGTAAGCAAGACAGTGCTCATTTGGGATTGTTGTGTTTGGGAGAAGATACAATTCTCATTTTCAGAAAGAATTAGAGAGAAATAAGCAGTAGTAAGATGTGAGATGTTTAAATGTAACTGTGACAAGAATCTTTGTAATTACCATTGTTTTATGTTGGCAGGGTTTGTGTGACTGCTCTTCTGCTAAAATAGCTTAGTAAGTAAGACTTGTCAGTTTGATTCATGCACTACCAAAACATAGTTAACTTTTACTGAAATTGACTCCTTTTAATAAGCTGGAGGCAGCTCCAGCAACTAGATAGCATTTCTCTTTTCATACTAACGCAGAATAATGTACAGTAGCAGATAAACATTTTTAATCTCATGAAAGCATATTAGTTTTCTACTTTTTCTCTTGAAGGACTAATGATTTACCACAGTAGAAATTTTTTTCCAGCTTTTTGATTGCAGTGTCAAAAAAGTATACATTTCATTGATAACGTACAATGCAAATGGAGAACAGCCTTGTAAGGATATTGCAATTGTGGTTCTCACTTTGTCCGTTTCCTTATTTTGCCTGTAGCACAAGTGGAAGTGCTGTCCGCTGCACTGCGTGCTTCCAGCCTGGATGTACATGAAGAGACCATCAGTGTAGAAAAGAGAAGTGATTTGCAAGATGAACTGGGTATAAATGAGCTACCAAATTGTAAAATAAATCAAGAAGATTCTGTGCCTTTAATCAGCGATGCTGTTGAGGTAACAAACTCAGTATTTACCAAGTGAGAGTAGTTTGAATCAGAAGTCTTTCATTGGGGAATAGTTGTAGCTGATCACTTTTAGTTTGTATGTTCTGTTTGTTGCTGATTTTTTAGCTCTTCCTTTTGCATAAAGTAATTGTTTTCATCACATCCTGTCCTCGTGACATCAGTGTCATATGAAATGCCTGGAAAAGTAAATCCCACTTCTGTCTATATGACCATTTAGTAGACTCAATGTTAATGTAGCTCACTGCAGTGAAATAGTCTTACTGGAAACAAAGCCCTTTATCAAGAATAATTAACTCTTCCCTTTTCTTTTTGGAGAGGTGCTTTGTTTCTGATCGGACCATTTCACTGCAGCAAGCAACACAGTATTCTGAGCAGAAGATCGGGACTTGAGGCCATGTTGCGGAGGGCCAGTGACATTATCTGGACTCTGGAGTGTGAGGGTGGGTACTGATCCTAGCATCATCTTCACTTTGTACTTATAGCTGTTCTCTGTGATCCTTCCCTAATTTCCTGCTGCATCTCCATCAAGCCAGCATTATTTGGTGTCAGTGCTACTTGGCCATTATTTATATAAATGGGGAGAAGGAATGCACCACCGATTGCCAGAGTCGCATGGTCACAGATCATAGTGGCTTGAATGAGAAGCTCAGGAAAGAGTACCTGCACACACTGGGGACGGCAAGAGGGTTCTTAGAGCTTTAGTGCATTTCTGTTTTGATTCCTGTTAGATGGCATGTGGTATAGTTAGAAGTCTGTATGATACCACTGCTTTGGATTGAAACCCTGACTATTTATTGGAGATTTGAATAGTATTAATATATCTGCATCTTAGAAGGTGTTTATGTTGTTGTTGTTGTTACTGTTTTTGGCTGTTAACATATACATAATTTGTGAAATTAGATACTAACAGCCAAGAATAGAAATAGAAGAAAAACTGCATATGACACTCCATGGTCTCTAAAACAATGGATCAAAAGAATCCTCTCAGTACTATTTCATAAATAAGCTAATTTGAGCTGTTTGGACCATTTCAAAATTACTTTCAAATATTGTTTTTAATTACTCTCATTTTTCTGGAGTTGTTTTTCACACATTTGACAAGCTATTCAGCAAGTTAGGTTTAAAGTAGGGAAAGTTCTTAGGTATGGCTATAAGCTTTTAAAAACATGAGGCATGTATGTGTTTATTACTTTTGGCAGTCTTGTAGGTAAGTAACTTAGTGTAAGATAGCTTAAATGAAGATGTGCAGCTGGGACAGCTCTTTAAGTAGTTATTTTTTCCTGACAGAATATGGACTCCACTCTTCACTATATTCACAACGATTCAGACTTGAGCAACAATAGCAGTTTTAGCCCTGATGAGGAAAGGAGAACTAAAGTACAAGTAAGTGACCAAAAAATGTGTTCTTTCAGGGGTGTGTTCCTAATTCCTCTTTTAGAGCCCATTTCTGACCTAATTTGCCCCTTCTTTATGATGAGTGTTCTAAAAATTATGACTAGTGTGTCATATTTTCTATAAGGAAATTGAAATAGTAGAGAGAGGAACGTGTAAGCACAAATCTTCCCTTTCCTACGTCTGTGATCCCATTCTTCATTCAGAGCGACCACAGTCACACACCTTGTTATCTTCCTTCATGTATTTTCATGGGCACATAAACATACACATGTGCCCCTTTTTATCATTCAAGACAACTGTGGTCATCCCATCCTAGGTATTTCCTCTTGTTCACATTGCCAATAATTATAAAATACAGCTCGATTTCAGAGATGAAAATAGGAAAAAATATGAAAATTTTGAAGTGCCGTCAGTAACAAGCTGCAGGAAAACTGTGCTCACGGAATCATTGGAATGTGATAGCTATGCCTTGCCTTGCTCTTTTCTTTTCTAACAATCTGACCTGGTGATCTCTCCTGTAAACACACTAGGACTCCCTCACCTTCACAGCAGCACAGCCCAGTGTACATGCCACACCTGTGGTCTCCATTGTAAGAAGGCTCTGTGGGAGATGCTACTTGTAGTTTCACTTTGATGCTATAAGCAGTGCTACATTCACTGTGACTGTCTAGATGTGTTGTTTGCTTCTAGGACTTTATTATTATTATTATTAGAGATGGAGTCTCACTCTGTCACCCAGGCTAGAGTGCAGTGGCACCATCTCAGCTTACTGCAACCTCCGCCTCCTGAGTTCAAACAATTCTCCTGCCTCAGCCTCCCAAGCAGCTGGGACTACAGTTGCGAGCCACCAGGCCCAGCTAGTTTTTTTGTATTTTTAGTAGAGACAGTGTTTCGCCATGTTGGCCAGGCTGGTCACGAACTCCTCCTGACCTCAAGTGATCCACCCACCTTGGCCTCCTAAAGTGCTGCGATTACAGGCATGAGCCACCGCGCCTGGCCTTAGGACTATATGATTATTGTTAGAAGTAGATTTCCCAGATCAAATGGTGTATTTATTTTGTTGTTGTTGTTGTTAGAGATGGGATCTCAGCTCTGTCACCCAGACTGGAGTGCAGTGGCGAGATCACAGCTCATTGCAGCCTCGAACTCCTGGGCTCAAGCAATCGACCCTTCTGCCTCATCCCCCCTGCTAGCTGGGACTACAGATGTGCACCACCACATGTAGCCAATTTTTATTTATTAAAAATGAAATCAGTATTCAAAACAATAGTGTTTTGAAACATGCTTTTCCCCACTTATAGACATTTTCAGTATTTCACATCTCATTTTAATGAGTTTATTTCCATTTTCATTCTGTGTATGTGGGTAATTAGTTTATGTAGCTCAAAATTCAAGATACTTAGCAGGCATTTATTGACATTCCCTTCTCAGTTTTTCTTCTCCACTTGTCCATTTTGCTTCCTGAGATACAACCATTTTTACCTTTCTTTTATATCCTTCCACAGCTATATTATACACACCTAAGCAAGATTGCAAATATGTTCTTCTTTTCCTCACATATATACAAATAATTAGACATGTGCACTTCAATTTTGTGTGAATAATTGCTTAAATTTTCATCTAAAGAAGACAAGTTTTTATTTTTGTTTTGAGACAGTCTCACTCTATGGCCCAGGCTGGAGTACAGTGGAGCTCTCACGGCTCACTGCAGCTTCCGCTTCCCTGGGCTCAAGTGATCGTCCCACCTCAGCTTCCCGAGTAGCTGGAACTACAGGTGTGAGCCAGCACACCTGGCTGATATTTTAAATTTTTTGTAGAGACAGGGTTTCACCATGTTGCCCAGCCTGGGCTGAAGTGATCCATCCTCCTTGGCTTCTCAAAGTGCCGGAATTACAGGTGTGAGCCACTGTGCCTGGCTGGTTTTTGCTTTTTTAATGAACATGTTGCAAATCATGCAGAGCACCTGTCATTCTGCATTTGCTGGGTTATAACAAACATTGTCATCTCTGCCTACATTTAAAGGTGCTGGTGTTATTTTAATACGTCTTTTTAATTTAGTAATTAATTCTAATTTTCCTTTGAACTGAGATGTTACTCATTATTCTCCTAGAGTTGCTTTTGCTTTTATTTGTTCATATATGTTTCCCTTAGCATGTTTTTTGTATCTCTTAGTTATTAGATACCTGAAAATTTGACATTGGTATTTCTCAACTATTTGAGATGCTATGTTAAAATCTATATATTTAAAAATAATTTTGCCCAATTTATGTCTAAACTGCTCAAAATGCATCTCAACTGCTCAGTCACTGTGGTTTCTCTTTCTCCATTAGGATGTTGTACCTCAGGCGCTGTTAGATCAGTATTTATCTATGACTGACCCTTCTCGTGCACAGACGGTTGACACGGAAATTGCTAAGCACTGTGCATACAGCCTCCCCGGTGTGGCCTTGACACTCGGAAGACAGAATTGGCACTGCCTGAGAGAGACGTATGAGACTCTGGCCTCAGACATGCAGGTGAGTAAAGCAGTTAAAGAATTAGCAGAATGTGCACGTGGAAGGCACAGTGCTTTGCTTTTCATAACCTAAAGAATTTCTGTTCGTGTTCTAGCATGTTCTTAGTGTTACAGGAAATTATGTATGGAAGAGCTTAAGAGTAATAACAGAGCATGTTCTTTTTGCACTGTCAGAGTCTCACAGTTTGGCGGCTTCATTTTTATCTAAAGCGTTAGAAATTGTTAGCACATTCAACATGCCTACATTCCTAACTTAAAATGTGTTATTATCTAGAGTTTATCTGTAAATTAATTGTTGAGAATATAGGATTTAATTTTTCACCTAGAAATAGTATTATAAATGCTTATTTGATTTTTCACACTAGATCTCAAGATATTTGTTTAAACTGTAGTAGAACTGTAGTATTACTAGCGAGTGTGAAGTTCTGGGCCCCGCGTGCCTTGGGCATTGCAGTACAGACAGGAGAAGTTCTGTGGTTCTTGCTCTCTCCTCGTCCCCACACACCACCCCCACCCCCTTTCAACAGAACACACAAGGTAAACCTTTGCTTCAGGTCATTTTGTCTGGACATCTGTGACTTTCGTGTGACCTCTTCCCAGGCTTGATGACCTAACCTGCCCTGCCAGGCTGATTTCTATATAAACAAAGTTTGCCCCTCTTTGAACACACCCGTTCCTTCAGTGAAGTTGATCTCTCAGTTATTAAAAAAAAAAAGCAGTCTCATTAGGCTAATTTGTACTGAAATGTAATGACTTTTCCTTAAACTTCTAAGTAATTATTATATTTTTCAGGGAATCAGTGGTGTTGACTCAGCAAGTTCTAAGTGGGAAGTAATCTTGATAGGTCAAGTTCCTCCTTTGACCTATGAGGTTAGAAAAGCCGGGCCCAGGAGAAGTGAATTTATCTGTGTTCATACACTTCTTCAGTGCTGCATCTGGTCATGGAACCACAAAGGCCCAATTTCCATAGAGTGCTTTGTCCTGTGTATTCGTGTTTTCAGTCTTTATTCCACAGAACTGTAGGGTTCCCGTGGGATAAATCTCCAGGGGCACCTGGGTGACTCTGACGGCTCGGAGTCTGGACTAGCAGTTCTTTCTCTCTGCTGCCCCCCTCTTCCATGAGAACATCTCTGCCTTCATCTGTTTTATATGTTGAACTTAGGTGTAAAATTTGATTTCAAGAGTGGATTCTGGGTGGAAGGGAAAGGAAATAAAATGTTTGCTCTAAACTGTTTCTCTTTAGGTAAAGTTTTAAGTTACTGTGTGAAAAATTAAGGCAGCATGGAGAAAAGGATGTTTTTAACTTAAAATTATTATAAATGCAACACATTTCTGTTGAGGGTTTCTTTTCCAAGGCTGTATGCAGATTTCCCTAGTCTTGTATTTCTTAAATTGCCAATTCCTTAAGAACAAATTTTATTGTTCTGTTTTGTTTTTCTTAATCCAAGGTGTGGCTGTACCGGAATCTGAAGGGGGACGGTAAACTGGGGAGGGTGCTAGAGAGCCTTTGGTCCATGTGCAGCCTCAGCTCATCGGCGTGTTCTAGCATGTATTTAGTGTTACAGGAAATTATGTATGGAAGAGCGTGAGAGTAATAACAGAGCATGTTCTTTTCGCACGGTCAGAGTCAGGGTCCGACATTCAGAGAACTACAAAAACTTAATGATTTCTGAGCATTTTTTCCTCATGAGTGAAAGGAAGATAATACATACTGGGCAGGGATTTAAGATTTTTCTGTTATACTTTTCAATGCATAATTTAGGCATTTAAAATTAGTATCTGTTATTACTATTCTGATTTAATGTTTTGAGATTAGTGACATTCATATATAAATTAGCCTTCGTATATTGCCTAAAGGTTGAGGTACTGAGTACTTTGTGGTCAGCTTACTAATGTGTTTTCGTTTCTGCAGTGGAAAGTTCGACGAACTCTAGCATTCTCCATCCACGAGCTTGCAGTTATTCTTGGAGATCAGTTGACAGCTGCAGATCTGGTTCCAATTTTTAATGGATTTTTAAAAGACCTCGATGAAGTCAGGATAGGTGTCCTTAAACACTTGCATGATTTTCTGAAGGTAACTTTTAAATTCTTTTGCAGAAAAGCACAACAAAATTCTGCTGTAAATCTAAATCTTTATCTTCTGCTAGCACCAAGAGAGGTTTCTGTGTGTTCCTATGTAAGAAAGTATGGCCATAAGTTTATGTTAAGATGTGACTTAAAAAAGAAATAGTTCCATAATTATACTTTCACTTTTAAAACAGTATTAGATGATAGTGCTTTTTTTTTTTGAGACGGAGTCTCACTCTGTCGCCCAGGCTGGAGTGCAGTGGCGGGATCTCAGCTCACTGCAAGCTCTGCCTCCCGGATTTACGCCATTCTCCTGCCTCAGCCTCCCGAGTAGCTGGGACTACAGGCGCCCGCCACCTCGCCCGGCTAGTTTTTTGTATTTTTTAGTAGAGACAGGGTTTCATTGGGTTAGCCAGGATGGTCTCGATCTCCTGACCTCGTGATCCGCCCGTCTTGGCCTCCCAAAGTGCTGGGATTACAGGCTTGAGCCACCGCGCCCGGCCTGATGATAGTTTGCAGACGTTTGTACCTTTTTATTTTTCAAAATTATTGAATGAAATATATGTTAAAAAAAAAAAAAAAAAACCATTAGCTGCAGTCATCCCTCAGTATGTGCAGGGGGAATGGTTCCAGGTCCCCCATGCACACTCAAATCCATGCAGTACTCCAGTCCTGTGGAACCCGCGTGTAGGAAAAGTCCGCCCTCCATGTACTCCGGCTTTGCATCCAGGAATCCTGTATTTTCAATCCTCACTGGGTTGGGACAGACAATTCCGTATAAGTGGACTGATGCAGTTCACACCCCTGTTGTTGAAGGTCAGCTGTGTATTAAGTTTGGAGGCTTTATGTGGTATTCCAGGAGTCCGAGAATTTACGTTTAGCCCTCACTACTTTAAGAGCTGTTATCTCCAAAGTGAATAGCCTTGATTTTTTACAAATTGTTTAATCCTGGAGTACTGTTGTTTTTCTTAGACTTTAGCCTTGAAATTGATTCTGATAATTCTAAGGCTTGAGTGATAGAAGTAATTGGAGTCCTCCCTTTTAAAAAACATTGAGACTGGGCACAGTGGCTCACGCCTGTAATCCCAGCACTTTGGGAGGCCGAGGCAGGCAGATCACTTGAGGTCAGGAGGTCGAGACCAGCCTGGCCAACATAGTGAAGCGCTGTCTCTACTAAAATACAAAAAATTAGCTGGGCGTGGTGGTAGGCACCTGTAGTCTCAGCCACTCAGGAGGCTGAGGCAGGAGAATCGCTTGAGCCTGGGAGATGGAGGTTGCAGTGAGCTAAGATCGTAGGTACTGCAGCCTGGGGTACAGAGCAAGACTCCATCTCAAAAAAGTAAAAAACAAAAACATTGAGACCTATATTTTATGTAGATCATATTGAAATTTTTCTTTCTTTTCTTTTTTCTTTTTTTTTTTTTTTTTGAGACAGATTCTTGCTGTCACCAGGCTGGAGTGCAGTGGCATGATCTTGGCTCACTGCAACCTCCGCCTCCCAGGTTCAAGTGATTCTCCTGCCTCAGCCTCCAGAGTAGCTGGGACTACAGGTGCGTGCCACCACACCTGGCTGGTTTTTTGTTTTGTTTTGTTTTGTTTTTTTTAGTAGAGATGGGGTTTCACCATGTTAACCAGGATGGTCTTGATCTGACCTCATGATCCGCCCGCCTCAGCCTCCCAAAGTGCTGGGATTACAGGCGTGAGCCACCACGCCTGGCCTGAAATTTTTCTAATTGTCCCAGTATTGTCCTTTTTAGTTTTTCTCTGCCTAATTTTGAATCCCATAAAGTACATATTAAATTTAAATGTTATGTTTCTTTAGTCCTCTTAAATCTAGGTGTCACTGGCATTTTTGAGGAGTCCAAACCAGTTGTTTTACAGAATTACCCTCAATTTGAATTTACACAATTTGATTCTGGGTAAGCAAGGTTTTTTTGCAGACATGTTAACCTGTGTAGGTTTTCATGCATTTTTCTGAATGTGTCACATCAGGGCTAATGTGATGTTGGCTCTTCCCATCATTGGTGACGAGAAGGCTGGCAATTCCATTATAAAATGACCTTTCACCTTTTGTGGTTAATAGAGAATTGGTGAGGTGATACTTTAGAACTCTGAGTATCTTTTTCTCTAGAGTCCTTCACCAGTGCTCTCATAGCCAGGCATCTGTACATGGTTCTTACCTGAATCAGTTAACTGTGTTGGTTGTGAAAGAGTGATTTTCTATTTTCATAATTCTGTTTTTTTTTTATTAATTAACTTATTTTGAGACAGGGTCTCACTCTGTTGCCGAGGCTGGAGTGTAATGGTGTGATCATGGCTCACTGCAGCCTCCACCTCTCCCAGCTCAGATGATCCTCCCACCTCAGCCTCCTGAGTAGCTGAGGCCACAGGCGCACTACCACACCCAGCTGAGTTTTGTATCTTTTGTAGAGACGGGGTTTCGCTGTGTTGTCCAGGCTGGTCTTGAACTCCTGGGCTCAAGTGATCTGCCCCGACTTAGCCTCCCAAAGTTCTGGGATTACAGGTATGAGCCACTATGCTCGGCCATTCCTTCTGTTTTTATTAAGTAACATTCCTGTGTAAAATAACCTGTGCCTTCTCTCCCTCCCCGGTTTCAAAAGTTGTTTTAGTATTGGTGTGGACTCTAGGATTTAAAAAATTCAATGTAATGCAATCCATTTCTGTCATTTGTTTTGAGCATCAAATTTGACTAGTGGGGACCCCTTAAAGCTGCCTCTTGTGTACTTTGATTTGTCCTTTTATTTTTAAGCGTATCAACACTTGCAGTTTCAACTTTCCCTTTCCCTGTCCCAGCCTGGAGTCAGCTGTTTCTCCAAGGAACTGTGGTCCTTTTTAGTGGAGAATGGTCCTTAGAAACTGAGATCCAGGCACTGGAAGTGCTTATTGCTCCTGGGCTGTCATTTCGTTTAGGTCTTTTCAGGAGATAGTAGCTGGGAGGTGTGTACTTTTTTTTTTTTTTTTTTTTAATTACTAACTTCGTACTGTTAAGAACTACTTCCATTTCAATACTGTTTCCTCTCTTTTCTTCACTTTATATATTTTTTTCCTTTTACTCCTGGTAAAAAGTCTGTTCTTAACAACATTAATGTATAATACTTAGTTGTGGCTGGGCGCAGTGGCCTGTAATCCCAGCACTTTGGGAGGCCAAGGCAGGCGGATCACTTGAGGTCAGGAGATCGAGACTACCCTGGCTAACACGGTGAAACCTCATCTCTACTAAAGATACAAAAAATAGGCTGGGTGTGGTGGCGGGTGCCCATAGTCCCAGCTACTCGGGAGGCTGAGGCAGGAGAATCGCTTGAACCTGGGAGGCGAAGGTTGCAGTGAGCCAAGATCACACCACTGCATTCCAACCTGAATGACAGAGTGAGACTGTCTCAAAAAAAAAAAAAAGTTTGCTCAGTTCCACAACATAAATGAAATAGTTTCAGAGTTACTCCACCAATAATAATTCCCACATCAAATCAGCTACGTAATATTCAGGACTTCCTGGCACATTCTGTCCTTAGACTGTCTCTTGAAGATGTGTGATCACTCAGTTCACACTTTGGCTTTTTTTCCCTGTGATTGGTTTCCGTCTGATGTACAGTTAGGTTGCTTTACTTCCCCCTTTAAATATTTATAGAGCAGCTATTGGGATACATTTCTTTATTTTTTTTCTCTCAACAAATAATGCCTGCTCTGTGCTGTCACAGTGCCACACGCGGGGCTTACACACGTGGTTAAGAGCATAATTACTGCCTTAAGTGGGGCCATGGCAACAAGGATGTCATATGAATAAAGGGGGGCAAGTCCTGTAATCAAGCTGTGCCCGGCGTACTGTGGGGTTGAGTGTGGCTCATTGATAGGCACAAGGAACAAAGATTTCCAGACAAGATGGTGATTCCTGAAGGCAAATGGAGTTATTCAAGGAAAAATAAACTTAATACCAAATTTAAAACATTTAAATACAACTACTACATTTCCTTTTCAGAAGAATTAACCATATTGCTTACAGTCTGTTTTTACACACTCTAATAAAAGAAATAATGTCTGTACCTTGTCCTGGTAAATATTTTTATTTTGTTACTTTAGCTTCTTCATATTGACAAAAGAAGAGAGTATCTTTATCAACTTCAGGAGTTTTTGGTGACAGATAACAGTAGAAATTGGCGGTTTCGAGCTGAACTGGCTGAGTAAGTTCTAACAGTTTATTAGATTATATTTTGGAGGGGTATATATTTACTTCATTTTTACCTTCTCTCAGTTTCATTACTTTGTGTAGATCCAAGTTTCTATGTGGTGTTCTAGCCCTTTAACGCTTCCTGTAATACATGTCTTACTGTCAGTGAATTTCCTCAACTTTTTTTTTTTCCTGAAAATGTCTTTAGTTCATTTTTATATTATTTTTATCATGGCGAAATACACATAGCCAAATTTGCTCTTGATGACATTTAGTACATTCACAGTGTTGTGGAACCATTCCCTCTATCTAGTTCTAAAATGTTAACCTCCCGAAAAGAAAAACGCATGTCCAATAAGCATCTACTTACTATCTATGGATTTGCCTATTGTGGACATGTCATGCAAGTGGAATCATACCACATGTGGCCTTTTGTGCTTGGTTTCTTCATCTAACACTGCTTTCAGTTGTCCCTCCATATTGTATCCTCTAGCTGAACTTGCCTCCCTTTTTGTGGTTGAGTAAATATTCCATTGTATGGATATACCACATTCATTTAGTGCATTCATCTGTTGAGGAACATTTGGGTTGGGTGTGTGGTCTTTTGTGAATAGTGCTGCTAGGAACGTTTATGTACAAGATTTAATCCTTGAAATCTGTTTTCAGTTATTTTGAGGTGGATTTGCAAGGCCATATGGTAATTCTGTGTTTAATTCATTGAGGAACTGCCAGACTTTTCCACAACAGCTGTACCATTTTACATTCCCATCAGCAACGTGTGGGAGTTCCAATTTCTCTATGTCCTCACTAACACCTATTTTCCTATTAAATTTTAAAAATATTTCTAAATTGGCCAAATAATAATTGTGCATATTTACAAGGTATGTAATGATGTTGCAATACATATTGGATAGTGGTTAGATAAGAGCAATTAGCATATCACATCACTCGCTTATCATTGATAGCTGTTCTGATGGGCGTGGAACAGCACCTCGTTGTGGTATGATTCGCATTTCCCTAATGACTAATGATGTTGAACACTTTTTCATAAGCCTGTTAACCATTTGTGTATATTTTGTGGAGAAATGTCTATCCAAGTCTCTTGCACATTTTTTAATTGGGTTGTTTATCTTAAGTTGTGTTGTTGAGTTGTAAGAGCTATTTATATATTCTGGATCATAGACCTCACGTGTATTTTCAGATGATGTCTTTGCTGAGTATGGGATGTGGGGCTGACAGTTTGTCTTTCAGTGTATTAAAAATGCCACTCCATTGAGTTCTGGCTTGCCCACTTCTGACTCGAAATGCACGCCTCCTCTTCCGCCATGTAGTGCCGGGATGTGAGTCCAGCTAGTCAGGATCAAGCTGGGCTTGCGTTTTGTCATTGCTGTGGTTACCTTCAGTGTATTTGGGGCTTCAGTTTTCCTCACTGTGGGCTGCCACTACCATTGCCGTTTGCTGAGGGTGGGAGCTGGGGCACCAGTGGTCTTGTAGTGCGAGTATTCCACCCAGGCTTTAGCTATACCTGCACCCCTGTGTAATGGGTGGGACCTCCTGTCTGTGCTTGGTCTCGGGCAGGACTTCCTGCAGCTCCTCCTAGAATAAGGAGCGTTAGTTCTCCTCTCCCCCAGTTGCAGCGTTTTTGCTGGCCCACAGGGTGGACAGGCTTTGGGCCCCTCCACCAGCAGGTTAAGCCTTTTGCTTTGTGTGAGCAAAGGGCCCAGTAGAGTGCTTGGTGATTCGTGGCTGTCCATCAGCCGCTTCTGCCTGCTATGAGACATCGCTCCTGTTTCTCCTGACTGTCCTTCTTGAAGCACCCATGGGAGGCAGGTACCCTGTGGAAGTCAGAAGGTCAGAAGGTTGCCTGGGGATGTGAGCTCCCTGTGTCGGGCACATATGGCTTTGCTTGAGCCACTCCGTGCTCGTGCCAGCCACCATCTGGCCCTGGGCAGCTGGCTACAATTCGAGCTGATTTCTCCCCACCCTGTTATGTGCTGGCAGGTGCCCTGTCCCTCCGGGCTCTGCTGAGGGGGAAAGTTAGGCTGTTTGGGTGCTTTGCAACCCCAGCTCTCTGATGGGCTCAAGAAAAGATCTTGAAGTTTATATAGCTTTTTCTACTGTAGGGTCAGTGACATTCTTGCAGTTTTCTGTATTCTAAGCAGAAACTGATGTCCTATTTGGAATTCTGATTTTGAACTTTGTCGAAAAGTACGTGTGTCTGTTTGAGGATGTATGTTTGTATACACAGGTGCATTGTCATGACTGCATAATCTACATTCATGTTACAGTTGACTTCCTGCTTATTAGAAATGTAAATCATCTTGAACATAAAATCTCAAAGGCAAAAGTCTCACATCCAAGGTATTTCTTCAAGGGCATCATTGAAGCCTTCAGGTTAGCTTGGTGGATGTCATGAAAGTCTCAGGGCCCCTCAGATGTGATGGGAAGGTCGCTGGAGGACACCCTCCCTCTGTTATCCCTAGCGAGTCCCTTCCAGGAAGGCTCCTCAGAGCCTCGACAGGTACACAGCAGACTCCCTGCCTCTGCGGGAACTTCTTACTGAGAAACTTGATTGTAGATGGAAGCTTCTCAGCACGTTCCAAACTGTAACCATGGATCAGTGTGGGCCATGTTCCAGTTGAACATACTAGGAAGTGCTTTGCTCTCTCCGTTCCCATGGATGCAGAGCTCTACGGCTTTTGTTTCCTTACACTCTACAGAACTTGAATAGCATGTGAGTGCGTTTCCAGATGCACAGAGACTGGAGGTGACTGTACAGGAGAGGTCCGCTTAGTCGCTCCTCTTTGCATGTGTTTGAGACAGGTGCTCCGTAATCCAGTATTGCAGATTATTTAAATGAGAACCTGGTTTCATTTGTCTCGCCGATTTTTAAACATTATCTTTTTGTAATTCCTTTTTGTAGACAGCTGATTTTACTTCTAGAGTTATATAGTCCCAGAGATGTTTATGACTATTTACGTCCCATTGCTCTGAATCTGTGTGCAGACAAGGTTTCTTCTGTTCGTTGGATTTCCTACAAGTTGGTATGTATTGAACTTTTAAAATTTTAGATCAGTAAACTCTAAGATCCTAGATTGGAAGCTGTTCCTCACTTCACACTCACCCTCCCAGGTCAGCGAGATGGTGAAGAAGCTGCACGCGGCAACACCGCCAACGTTCGGCGTGGACCTCATCAATGAACTTGTGGAGAACTTTGGCAGATGTCCCAAGTGGTCTGGTCGGCAAGCCTTTGTCTTTGTCTGCCAGGTAAGCGAGGCCCTGGGCTTACCTGTTTGTGAGTTTTTCTCCTAGAAGAATGTCTTCTTTGACTTCCTACCTCTCTCTCATCCTCTTCCTTATTCTTAAGAAACAGAACCTTACGGTAGCCTGGCTGTTTCTAGGATCACCTGTCCCCATTGTTGGGCATCTGCTGGCCCCTCCCTCCCAGCCAGCCAAGCCCCTTCTTACACTGGCACGCACCACGCACACCCCACGTGCCTGCTGTACATGCATGTTCCACACCACACACCACATGCCTGGAATGTGCGTGTTCTGCTCTACACACATTCAGATGTGTGCATGTGTACATTTGACAGTGCACATACAATGCGTGTTCCTCACTGCATATTATACAGGCATACATACATGTACCACACCACACACATACTGTGCACACATATGCCATACCACGGTTCCCACTAGAGGGTGCTCATGCCTGGGACCCAGAGCACAGGTGTGAAAATGAAAGTGTGAATGAACACTCTAGGTCTCCGTAGAGCAGTTTAAAACCTGTCTGTCCACGTGGGCAGTTAATTATGTAATTTTTTATTTGAGTTCCCAAGTACCTGGAATTTTGGTTAAAAAGCAGTAAGTAAAATTTGTGCCTGTGGTCACTCAGAGCTTTTGTTGGCCAGCAGTCGAGTTTTTGGCTGCATTGACAGAGAAGCCTAGAGCAGCTGTTTCTTTTCCCCAGACTGTCATTGAGGATGACTGCCTTCCCATGGACCAGTTTGCTGTGCATCTGATGCCACATCTGCTGACCTTAGCAAACGACAGGGTTCCTAACGTGCGAGTGCTGCTTGCAAAGACCTTAAGGCAAACTCTGCTAGAAAAAGGTAGGTAGTGACTCTACTAGAAGCGTGTGAGTAGAGAGGGAGGTCTGTCGACTGCGCTGATCAACAGATACCAAAGCAGAAGTATTGTCTGCTCAGAGAAAATAATCTGGTGGAAGGAAATATTTTAGTTGTTCTGGTGGTTCTCCCAAGAGGGCATGGAAGATGAAAGGGGTTTTTTAGCCCTCTACTGTTCAATTTGGAGTTTATCGTAGGCATGGATTATTTTTATCATTTAAAACTTAGCTTTTTTGTTTGCTTGATTTTTTGAGACTTAGTCTCATTCTGTCACCCAGACTTGAGTGCAGTGGTGCGATCTCAGCTCACTGCACCCTCTGCCTCCCATGTTCAAGCAACTCTTCTGCCTCAGCCTCCCCAATAGCTGGGATTACAGGTGCCTGCCACCACACCCAGCTAACTTTTTATCTTTTTAGTAGAGACGGGGTTTCACCATGTTGGCCATGTTGGCCAGGCTGGTCTCAA